TACATACATACATGCATGCATACGTGCATACATGCATACATGCATACATACACTGTACTTCGGCAGGTATCTGACTGTGTGCGGTCTATGCTGCGGTCTCCCCAACTTCGGAAGCCCCAATGTTTTCCCGACCCTAAACATGTGCCTTCAACCGTGGAAACCGGAAAGGCCGGGATGTCGCTGTAGTTCAAGTAGATGGGATCTTCGAGATCATTCCTGGGTTTAGGGTTTAGGGTTTTCAAGTAGATGGGATCTTCGAGATCATTCCTGGGCTCAGCTTGCTGCTGCACGGTTTCGCTGCTCGTAGGATTGGTCTCTATAGATCCACGGGGACCATGGAAGAGTCATTCTTATAGTATAGCTACAGGGATTATATAAGGAAATAATATGACGCACTATCCCGACCCGCATACCAGCATTGGCAGAGATCAGATTGACTTGACTTAGAAGCTTCATTTCCTGTTGTCATGACTACATGAAGTCATGACTACATAAGCACCTGCGCTTCTCCGAAGTAAGAGGGGCGAGGTGAACTCGGACCAGATCTGTTTGCATTCCAAACTCTACACGCTCGAATATGAGAAAATTAGCTTTAACAGCTCTGAAACCCGAAATCGGAAAAGTCCTGTGGACCCGAACAGCCTGATCCAACACTCCAAATTCCCGCAAAGCCCAAGCCTCACCCCTCAACCATGGATTGATGCATATCCACGCTCCCGCAAACCCTAAACCCTTAAACCCCGAACCTTAAACTCTCCCCCTCCCTAGGAGTGCCCCTAAGCCCCTCAACCCCAAGCTTACAGTCTGCGCCTAAGCCTTAAATACCCCTAGACCCTAAACCCAAACCCGAAACTCTGAGCCTAAATCACAAATTACCCAGAAGCCTTTGCCCGAAACCCCAAAACTCTAAACTCCAAAACCCCTAAATCCCTAAACCCCTGAAACACTGACCGTGAGCTCTGAGCCTAGCTTCGCAAAGTCGCCGAGCCCACTCCCCAGAACGATTCCGATCGTCGTGCGAGGCTCTCGAGCTAAGAACTCCTCGAGGAGGGCTCAGGGTGATATACATGGGTAGTTCTCTAAATGAGGGTCCCTTTCAGGGTTCGTTTTATAGGGGGGCCGTACTATATTGGGGACCCAGAAAGGGACCCCACTTTAGAGAACCACCCATATAGAGGCTGTAACATTTTCAATGGGGTTTCGTTTACGGTTCGCCAAAGTTACCGTTAGGGTCTAGTCATCCAGGGGCATCTTCCAAAGGCTTTGAAGGGATGGTTCTAGTAAGAAGTATACCTATCACGGATTGTTTCGAAGTTCGACGGCTATATTATTAGGGCTTCGGGTTTGGAGGGAAGGGTGGTTCAGAGATGAGAAGGGCTATAGGGAGTTTAGGTCTGGAGGCTGTAGGGGGATGAGGGCTTTAGGATGAAGGGTTTAGGGCGTCGGGGTTAGGGTGTGGAGAGGGATTATCAGATATCAGTTTGCGGCTTAATGTGACAAACGTGCCTTCATAATCAAAAAATGCTCTGGAGGCTATTATAGTTAGTATGTATGTATGTATGTATGTATGTATTTAGGTAGGTAGGTAGGTAGGTAGGTAGGTAGGTAGGTAGGTAGGTATGTATCCGTGTATGCATGTACGTTGTATGTATTGTATGTATGCATGCCTGTATGTACTGTAAGTAGGCATGTATGCATGCATGCATGCATGCATGCATGCATGCATGCATGCATGCATGTATGTATGTAGGTATGTATGTAGGTAAGTATATGTGCGCATAGATAGATAGATAGATAGACAGACAGACAGACAGACAGACAGATAGATAGATGTACACATATTATGCACGTACACAAACATACACATAAGTACTGCAGGGGGGGATAAGTGATACTGCTAGCAATTCTGGCTCCTGGACGGAGGATGTCGCTGGGGTCGCTCGAGTCTTGTGAGGGGATTCGTTGAGGGACAAAAGCTCAAATGCAGGGACAGCAGTGGGCCTGGGAGACTCCATGAGCAAGTCGGGCCCTTCATGGTACCCTTAAGAGTGCCGAAATAAGGGTTCTATACGGTTTTTACAGGGTTTAGGGTTGTTTAGGATTTAGGGTTTAGGGGTTTAGGGTTTAGGGTTTAGGTTTTAGGGTTTAGGGTTTAGGTTTTAGGGTTTGGAGGTGGCCCTGTGGGATCACAAAAGCAAGTGAGGCCTCGGCCCTGGAGCCCAGCGAAACCAAACGTACACAGCAAACCCACGGCTCAGAATTCTTACTCCGTGTGTATACATATAGATATATACATGTATAATACTTTATCTAACTATCTATCTATCTATCTATCTACCTATCTATCATATATACATATATATATATATCGACATATATCTACACCCTAATATAATCAAATTTGTAGCAAAGAATCCGGCCACCGGTAGAAGTTCGCGGCGTCTGCCGTTTCTGCTGGAAGGTCGGCAGGCGGCATGTGGACGACTGTGGGCCACACCAACAAAGGCTGGTCAAGATCTAGGACTCTCAGATGTGTCGATGTGAAGGTTTGTAGCGTTGTCTGCATTTTGGCTGTTCTTACTGCTACTGCTGATTCTGTTACTGTACTCTTCGACTCGCTGTTCAGTTCGAAGCATAGATAACCTCCGCCAAACGCAAGGTAGGGGCCTGAATTGTCAGAATTGGGCTTTGAGGGGCGAGGGAAAGACTTATAGTAAAAGTCTACGTGGCCCACAAGAGCTTTCTTGCAATTTCAGACCCATAATTAATAGCACTATGTGGCAAGGACCTTTATGTTC